GGGAGGAGGAGGAGGCTCTGCTTGCTAGCAGGGGTCTTTCATCATCCCCTCTCCCCCCCTGGGCTCTGGGAGACAAACGAGGCTGAGGTGTGAGCAGAGGTGGTTGTCTGGGTGGTTTGGGGAGGGAGGAGGGGCAGCAGGGTGGAGCAGAGGGGGGACCTGCTGTGGTATGGTGCAGCAGCCCCCCGCATGGCGAGCAGACCTCTGCCGTGGGCCAGGCTCTGCACTGCAGCTGGGGTGAGGCTCGAGGGGATCTCAGGGACCTGTCAGAGAGGTGCCTGTGACAAAGGGTCAAGGAGATGCAGAGCCAGGTCCTGCTGTTCTGTCCCCCTGCTCTCCCTGGTGCTTCAGGTACAGGCATGTCTACCCGTGCCCATCCCAGTGCCCACAGTAGGGTCAAAGGTCTCTTTGCATGTTCCTTTTCTCTCATCCCCCTTCCCACGGCTCTCACAGGGCAAGGAGCTACTGCAGGGCCTTCAGCTGGCTTTGACATGCTCTTTCTTCCCCAGAGAAAGCACCATAGCGTGCCCTTTACCTCCTCTCTTCCACTCCCCCCCCTTCTCATACCTGCGTGCCACAAACCCGCAGGAAGCCAGTTTAAAGGGCCAGACCCTTGGCAGGTACCTTGAACAAGCTTGAGACTGTCACAGAGCCCTTTGCAGGAGAGCTTGGACCTGTCTTTCAGAGGAGAAGAGAGCGACAGCCCCCGGGATAACGCCATGGTTGCCCACCTCAGGATGTGCTTCTGCCTTTGTCCAGGAGGGAGTCACCAGCTCCAGACTCACAGACCACAAGGGAGCCCCATGACATGGAAAAGGACCTAGCCCAGGGTCTTGTGGCCTCCAGGGCATGGCTGCACACACTGACAGGACAGCAGGGCTGGGCTGGCCCACTCTAGCCCTGGGTCCTTCAACAGCCTTGCAGGGTTCACCTTGTCTGAGCTGAGCCTCACCCACAGCAACCCTACAGTTGGGTCTGAGCTGAGCCTCACCTACAACTCTACAGTTGGGTCTGAGCTGAGCCTCACCCACAGCAACTCTACAGCTGGGTCTGAGCCTCATCTACAGCAACCCTACAGTTGGGTCTGAGCTGAGCCTCACCCACAGCAACTCTACAGCTGGGCATCCATGGTGTGATGGGTGGCACTGGCTGCAGCCCCTGACTGTCACAATGCAACCTGGTCCCAAGGGATGTGGCTGAAGAGACTCTTCTGGTGGAACTTTGCTCTCTAAGTAGGTAGGCTGAAGGCTTAAATTATAGAAGATGTCCCTGCTTATTGCAGGGGGTTGGCCTAGATGTTAGAGGTCCCTTCCAACCCAATACATTCTATGATTCTGTCATAGAAAACTTTTCTAAAAGGTCTGGCTACACATTTATGCTCCTCCCTTCTCCCTCACTCCTCATCTTCTCTAGGTGTGATAAAGTCACCTCCAATCTACCAGCATCTCAGCTCAAGTGGCCAGAGATAAGCACAGACACAACACCTGCACTTCCTGAGGACACGTTTCTAGCTGCTTCCTTAAAAGTAAATAAAAAACACAAGGCAGGCTGGGCTCTGAGCTGCCAGGGTATTGTATTTGCTAGGATATATATAGCCCTAGTTATGGGCCTGACACAGGACCAAAGAGGCCTGTAAGGGTGCATGTGATTGTTTTCCACCCCTTGCCAAACGAAGCATCTGGTACACGTCAAACCACAGAAGAAGCTATGTGAAGATGAATTCAACTCAAAACAGAAGTTCCTGAGTGAGGATCTCCTCTTCTTTTCTTGTCCATTCCTCCACGCCACTCATTCCAAACCCCAATGGTGGTAAACAAAACCCTTTTCACAAGATAAAGGGTCTGATCCCCCTTAAGAGACCTCTAGCATTAGCCCAGCCTTACTCAGTGTAATTAATTAAGGACTTGAAGCTTAATCCTACAACCAATTGTACCCCCCTGTTTGTGTTGGGTTTTGTTTGTTGGCTTTTCTTTTCATTTCCAAAGACTCCATCCTTGAATTTGCCTAAAGCTTCCCCAGCAAAGGGGAGAGGGTTGTCAGAAGCTTTGAAGAAGTTAAGTACCTTTAAGGTAGTGGTCCTTCACAAAGAAAATAAAGAGAAGATTGCCAAGGATTGCCCAGGGAATTTCCAGAGCTGAGTTAGACTTTGTACCTCTCTCTCTTTCAGCTCAATGTCTTTTCCATCACACTGTTTGCCCACAATGACAGCCAGAAGAAATAGGCTGGGAGCAAAAAATAAAACCAACCAGATCTAAGTGCAAAACAACCAGGAAAAAAAAAGTTTAATACCACGAAAAAAAAAAATTAAATATACAAAAGTTCATGGAGTTCGTTTGGTTTGGTAACATAAAGCACCATTAATTCCACAGTACATTACAACTCAGCCTACTGCACTTTCCAGAAAGCACCCAAGACTCCTGAAATCTGATTTAGCACCAACATCAGTGGTTTGCCAACTTGTTTAGCACCAAGAAGCCCATTAAACATACCCTTTGGTTCCTCTGCCCTCCTTTCTCCTGTGCATCAGGCACCGTCTGGCTGCTCGTGGGTGGCACGTGAGACCTATCGCTGGCATTCAAACAGCAAATAGAAAAAGAGGGAAAAGGAGGCTTGTTTCTGGAGATATTCAGTGTTAGAGAGGCTTGTTTCTCCTCAGGGAGCACTATACACTGTGAATAGACAATATCTGGGTTTGCACCCTCTTAGGGAAGAGAGAAAGGGATTCGGTCCTGAGCATCACCTCCAGCTTGCTGCTTACCCTCTACTGCCTGAAATCCTGCCTCTGAGCAATTCCACATACCTGACCAAAGGAGAGGAAGGCACAGTCTCCTTTAGTTCCCATGGTCATGTTTCCCTGGGAAAAACACAGCTTTGCCTCAGTGAAACCTTGTTTTTATACCCATTGACTCAGTGACAACGGTGGGGAGAATACAGGGCAGAAAGTGCCTGAAACTCGTTCCAGTCTGTACAGCTTCCTTAGCAAAGCAGGGAGGGGAAAGTGAACAGGGCAAGAGAGACAATTTCCTGCAATTCTCTCACATTTTTAATATTTAAAAATATTAATTATGTGCCTTTGCTATCCCAAGCTGGGTCTACCATACCCAGTCCTGTAGAATGGTGAGTATCTCCTATGAGAGAGCTCTGGTAGTCCCAGGTACTATAGGCAGAGACTAATTGTGGGGCCACAGGAGCTAACCAAGTCCAAAGACTTCATTAGCAGTGATGGGCAGAGGAGAAACAGTTTCTCCTGCTTATCCTGTCCTGAGACTCAAAAAGGAGACGACTCTTGGCTCTTGCTGTTTGTGGGAGCACCACAGCATGTGGAAGTAGGTTTCCCAAAGTGCTGAGCCAGCTTCATCTGCTCCCCCCCAGGACCACCAGAGGGATGTGAGTGAGAGCAGTGTGAGACCAGTACAAAGGGTTCTAGAAAACCCTGCTGCTGGCATTCCTCTCCCACTGCAACCTCTCCAGCCTGACAAGAAGAGAGGTTGTTTGTTTTAGCCACATGCTTTTTTCAAGTTGCTCTGATGAGGTTGGCAGGAAAGGGCACAGAGTGTGTAGCAGTGAAGCTTTTGACCCTGGGTAGAGGTGCTGTGGTCTCACCTCTGTCCTTTTTCCATCACACAGACAAGGAAATGCCAACCTGCCCAGGTCTGGAACTGATTTCAGTGCAATTGCCCTCGCAGCCTCCAGCTCAGGACCTGACCCAGCAGGACCTCAATCCCAGTGTGGTAGAACCACCTTCAGGATGACAGTGTAATGGCACTCAGGACTCTCCCCTCGCACCAGCAGGCGTTAGGGGTGACTGCTGATACCAGTGCAAGGGCAGGGGTGCACCTCTGCCAGAGAAGAGCAGATTCAGGTTCGCTGTCTGGACTAGCCACCCACAGCTCCATCACTGAGACCAAGCAACACCCCAGGAAGCTTGGAGGGGGAGTTTTGGTGGGCTTGTCTCTCTCTCTCTCATTCTGTACTTATGCTCCCTTGTGGGAATAGAGTGGTGGGCTCTACTGATTCAGTGGCAGATGGCTCTGAAGGGTCTGGTTGAGTGTCTGGCTCTTCATCTCTTTGAAGAGCTAGAGCTGACACAGAAGAGGACAATCTCATGAGGACTAGATTCTACATCCAACCTGGATGCTGTGACCCAGAGACCCTGGAATGGGTTGCCCAGGGAGGGGGTTGAGGCCCCATCCCTGGGGGTCTTTAAGGCCAGGCTGGAGGAGGCTCTGGGCAGCCTGATCTAGTGGGAGGTGTCCCTGCTCATGGCAGAGGGGTTGGAACTGGGTGATCCTTGTGGTCCCTTCCAACCCTGACAGATTCTGATCTGTTTTAGCAGAGGACTTTAGAGCCCTAATGGCTCAATGGTTGGACTTGATGATCTTGGAGGTCCCTTCCAACCTAAAGGATTCTATGAAAGCCAACAACAGACTTCAGAAGGCAAACGGTACCATCTCTCATCACTTCTACATCTTCCTTATCCTCCAGGAGGCCTTCGGACCCAGTCAGCTCTCCAGACCTCAGGTGGGAGAGGTGACATTAGGGCCACTTGGCAGGCTGCAATGCTGCTATGTCTGGTTGTGATGGAGAGGAGCCAGGATGCACCTGGTCTGTGGTGACTTTCTAGCCCTTTCTACAGGAGTCTTTTTGTGTACAAAGCCCCAAGGAGGAACGTATCCCCAGGAGCAGCATTTTAGCTTTCCTCCTGCTCTAGGACCCTAAATGCCAGACAGAGCTCACTGGCAGATTTAGAAGCAGCCCATAACCTAATTTGGAGTCATGAGGTGAGGGGGTGAGAGATGGTAGTGTCATGCTGTAAGTGGACGGGTACAGCCCTGGCTACAAGAGAGCATGAGGTGGGAGCCAGTGTGGCAAGTTTCACACTTGGTGCCTGAAACTCGATTGGCCCATTTCTGAGTGATTTGCAGTGGTTGCGGGCAGGAAAGAGAGAGAGAGAGGAAGAAGAAAAAGACCAAAGAGGCCCCAGGGAGGAGGAGAGGCAGTTATTCAAGGCTGGGCTTGACCAAGTATCCATTGAAGGTGATGTACACGTCCACATCATCGCTGTAAATGGCGTTCTCCCTCTCCCTCTTGTAGAGCCTCACCCAGATCTCATCATTCTCCTGCAGCTCCAGCATGAGGCTCTGGCTCTGCATGATGCTGCGGTCGCTGGGTTGGGCGTACAAGATGACGGCCTCTTCTTCGTTGTGCATGATGTGCATGTAGGTCTCCTTGAAGTTCCAGGTGTGGACGTTGAGGCTGAAATAGTAAAGCCCGCCTACGGCGCAGTAGAATTTGCCATTGAACATGTCGAAGTGGCTGTAGAGGTTGACAAAGACGGTGTCAAAGATGAGGACCTGGAAGCCCTCGCTGCTGTGCAAGGCTTTCCTGCGCCCCACGGAGAACGCGGCGTAGTGATGCTTGCAGGGGTCTCCTGCTGCACCCATCTGGCCTTTGCTGCCTTTCTGGCCCTGGGCACCCCGCTCACCTCGTGGTCCTTCTTTGCCCCATTTGCCTGGCATCCCAGGTTCTCCTCGGTCTCCTTTCTCTCCTGCAAGAGGAAGAAGAAGACACGACCCCTGTGCGATACCAGAGGGAGAGGTGGAAGTGGAGGTGAGAAAGGCTAGGGAGGAGGCAGAGGATTGCCCAAGGATGGGGCAGTGGCAGAAGGAGGAAAGCTCCTGGGGGTGACAATATCGTTGTGCTTCATGGGTAAGCAGCTATCTTGCCTGCAAATCCTGACTGTGACTGGGGTATCTTCTCTGATGAAACCCCTGCTCACCATTTAATATTTTCTTGATGGAGGCAGCAGGACCTGTCCCTTGGAGACTTCAGCCTGAGGGGAGCCCAGCAGTGCAAAGCACTCCACAGGCTGGAGGAGGGGAAGGAATGCTAATGCCTATGTGAGAATGTGACTAGAGAGGGACAATGAGGTGGGTCAGAGGGAAAAGATTTAAGTTGGACTTGACGGATGATGCAGTGTGAGTTAGAGGGCTGGTGCTTTGACCATACCTGTGTCCTCTGGGTGTCCTGTGTGATTACTACTGCAGTTCTACCTTGGGGTTCTTGCATGTCATACATTTGGGTAGGCAGCAATACAGAGAGAGAGCAGCACCAGAACATACTTTGTGTGTAGAGAGAAGGGATGAGGCTCAGAGCAGCCTCTAGCACAAGTGAGAGTAGCCTAATTTTGTGCCTTACTCTTTTCCTCTTCTGCACCTCCATGGTGTCGCAGGTCCCTCTGCAATACCTCACTCTTCTCCAGACTTTTATCTGCCCCAGACACATTTCTGAGCTCTGATGGATTGCAGCTATTTCCAGGCTGGGCAGGGAAGGGGGAGCATCTGCCCAGCTAGCCCAGAGGAACCACAGAGCCACAGTAAGCAAGTGGAGCAGGCTCCAGCTGGGAACAGGCTTGTGCCACAGCAAAGGCTAAAAGGGGAACCCTGAAGGGAGGAGCTGAGCTAAAATAGGGATTTTTTTTCCCATTAGCCAAGTCAGCCACAGCAGGGTGGACTGAGTTGAGGGTCGCTGCCAGTTAGCCTGGAGGTGCTTGCAAATAACTGCTGCCTCCCCTTGCCCTCCCTCAATCAAAAAGCTTGTGACCTGTGGAGCTGGAGGAGATTTTCCCCCAGCCTTCCCCGGTGCCACTGCCCAGCCTCCAGCTATGCTTCTTTTGCAGCTGGGTAGAGATTGCTCCTTCCATCAGGCACTAGAGACCTCTGGAAGTCTGAAGGCAAGGCAGGTGTCCTCCCGGCTTGGCAAGAGGTTGCCACAGCCACTCCTGTGCTAGCCAGGAGGAAGCAGAATTCTGAGACACAGGGCTCACAGCAGGGAGGTGCACTGACTTCCCTCCTCCCAGGCTGCTCTTGGTCAAGGCACAAAACATCTAATGACCATGTGGTGGACACGTACCGAGGCCAAGAGAGGCACTTACCCTTCAGGATGGTGATGTTGATGTAGGGACGGACCTCTGGCATTGGGTAGGGCAAGTGGTGGTGGCTGGGAGGGAGCGATGGGGCGTCCACCGAAGAGTCCGGTGGGTCACAGCAGCGTTTGCAAGCAGCAGGGGCTGGTTCTTCTGTGAGGTTGGGTTCATCAGCGGGTGCCCCAAGCACGACAAGAGGGAGAAGAAGGAAGGTCAGGGGTGTGCGCCGGTAAATGAGGTCCATGGTGACCTGGGAAGAGCTGAGGAAGCAGCAGAGTGAGGTATAAGAAGGGGAGGACACGGAGGATGAAGTAGAGATCATCACAAAACATCCTTCTGTGGCTGGAGCCAGGGGTGGGACCAAATAACATTGTCCTGGGGAGGGAGTTTGCATGCTTGAAGTCCCTGGAGGTTCAAGGCTGCAATCTGGGTAGCAACCACATGGCCCAGGAGGATGCCCACCCCTTTCTGCCTGGCCCAATGGAGACTGGGTGCTAATCCTGGAAGAAGGCTTGGCCCTCACTAGGCAAACCACTGGAGCCACTAGACGTTTCAGTCCCCAGGCTGGGACAGAGGAAGGAGCCATGGCAAACCACAGAGCCCCTTTAACAAAAACACGCTCTGGGAGGCTGCTGCATCTGTGGGGAAGGCTGCAAAAAGCTTCTCCAGCCCTCCACTCCTTAGATAGGAACTCTTGACCCCTAACCCAACAGCCCTCCTGCCCCAGCCACAGTCTGACCCATGTCTCTCTGCAGAGATCTCCTTTCTCCAGTGGGTTGGGAACCTCAGCCCGCTCCTTCCCACTGCCAAATCCCCCCCAGCCCCCTCCCTCCAACGCTCAGGCAAGCCCCAGCACCTTCCCTCAGGGATGGTGGGGTCCTCGGCGAGCAGCAGCAGCAGTGGGCAGTGCCAGGTCTGTGCAGCAAGCCCGGAGGGGAGCTGCTCTGCTGCAGAGGGTGAAGGAAGCAAGGCTCGGAGCAGGCAGCTCGCAGAGGAGCAGGCTTCCAGAAACAGACACGCAAACAAGCTCCTCTCCCAGCCTTTGCCACCCTTCCCTCTGCCTGCACCCCACCGCGGCGTGGCAGCTCACCCCAGAGGCTGACGGCTCCCCCCCTTCTTTCCCAGCCCAACTCCTGCAAAGCCTCCCCCCCAGCCCATGGCTTTAAGAGAGCCGGCTCTTGGCACAGGCAGTGCTGGCTGGGTGCTCTGCCTGGGCTTGGACCTGCTCCCTCCCTTCTCTCCCTCCCTTCCCTTCCCTGGCTTTGGGCTCTCTCCCTTGCAAACCGGCTTGGGTTTCAAAGCCTTTTAACTCTTTCCTAGGTAGTGCCTTTATATGTGTGTGATTTTGTTTTTTGCTTCTGCCTTTTTGCTTCCAAACAGCCCCAACCCTGGTCAGCAAAATTCAGGGAGCAGAGGCTGCAGCAAAGGTTACCTGTGCGAAGGTTAGTGTCCCACCCTGAGCATCTCAGGGTGAGGTGCAGGAGACACTTCCCTTCAGGTGGGATGGTGCAGGACTCTGCCCTCACTCCTCTGTGCTAGCCCCTTGCCTCGTTCATTAGCCCTTCACTTAACTGCCCGTGCTCTCTCCCCAGCTGCCTGTCCCCCTCATAGTCCCCAAATTTCATCTTTCATCCTCTCCCACATCGTTTCTTCCACACATCACTGCAGCCTTTTGCCCCAGGCTCATCAACTGGTCGAGCCCTCATTTTTTTTCCCCCCTTCTCTGGTCATCCCCAGCCCTTGGGCAGAGCCCCAAACCTCACGCTCCGGCGTGTGTCATCCCCAGGTCACGTCCCCCAGTCCTGTCCCTGGCTGAGCAGCTCGCCCGGGAGTGGCGTGCCTGGCCTGAAGCCCAGCCCGGCTGTGGGGAGCTGCCTGCCAGCAGAGCTGAAGGATCTGGAGCAAATCCTGGCCCTCAGCTTGGTCCCCAGCCTGGCGCCGAGCTGACGTGCTCACGCCGTTGGGGTCAGCGCGACGTGGCTGCAGTGGAACCTGGGAATGAAGGGGATTTGGGGGAAGAATGCGAGGGGGGATGGATGGGAGACTCCTCTTCCAGGCTGAATCTGTCAGCAAGAGGATTTGGGGGGTCCTACCTTGCAGCAAAACGCAATTTGGGGACTTAAAGCCAGAGGGGTGCACACTGGGGCACGGAAAGGATGGGCAATAACTCCCTTTAATACTAACTCCCTGGGGGGCAGAAGAGCCAGGTCAGCACTGTGCCTCCTGCAGCTTCCAAGAGAAGCTGGAGAAGGCCCCAAGGTTTCTGAGGGGGGAAAGGGTTTTGTGCCTGTCTACGTGTGCTTGGACTTTTTTTTTTTCCCCCCCTCCCTGTTCTCCCCCCATTTGTTTGGTTTGGGAATGGGAGGCCCCGCTTCCCAGAGAGTGGCTGGCGTTTGGCAGGACCCCAGCACCACTGGAGGAGCAAACGGAAAACTCTGGGAAAATATGTGCTGTGAGCTTGGGGGGGGAAGGGAAGAAGGGGGGCTGGGAGGCCTGGAGATATTCTCAGCCTGCCTGTCAGCCTGGAGTTCAATGAACATGGAGTGAACATGCCTCCCAGCCCGGGTGGGAAGAAGACCAAGAAATTTGCTGCTGTGTTCATGAGTTTCTAGCCAGGCTCCGGCACTGATGTGCAATGCCCCATTGCAAGTCTCCCCTGCCTGCCCGTGCCTCAGTTTCCCCTTTTGGAAAATGAGAAGAGGGACATTTAGGGTGACACTTCTTGCTAAGGGAGCCTTGTCAGCTGGTTTTTGGTGATCAGTTGTGTTGTTTACTTCTGCCTGCTGCTGGTGGGGATTTTGGCAGCTGACAATACTATTGAAAGCCAATAAATTTTCTGGGGTGCATGAACAGTCAGAGACTGATGCTGAAAACTCTCTGTCCCATCAAAGCTATTGGATCGCTTCACTCTCTCAGATTTTCTTGCCTGGCTTCTTTCCAAACCTGACACCACCCCCTTTTGCAGCTGTTGGCCTTATGCCAGGCTTCCTCTACCTTTCCAAGGGGAACAGGTAGCAGGGAGATCACTGCCCTAATTTCCATCTCACATCTCCATCTGCACTGACAAGCTGCTCACAACCAAGCCAACGGTCTTTGTGAAGGACCTCACCAGCTGAGGCCTTTGCCTTTGTCTCATCTGACTGCAAGAACAGCTCGTGGTGGACACCAAGTGTGATTTTCTATTTCATGTCTCATCCTGGCTGAACAGGGACCTGCAGGGAGCCAGCAAATGACGACTTGCACCGATGGCATTACCCAGCTGGGCAGCAGTTTCTGCTGCCGAAGACACTTTTGCCAGGGTAATAAAGCTGCTTCCTGAAGGGAACTGGCTGTACCAGCAACATTTCGCCAGGGCAGCCACATTTGCAGGAGATTTCAGCTTGCATGGCCAAGGGCTCAAAGATAGGAGTTTTGGGGCTGCTCTCCAACAGCCCTGTGCCAGCCACACTTTTAAGTGGAACTCAAGCTTGAAGGCACCTTGTGCGTCCAACTATTTTCCCTTTTCCTCATCACACACTCTGCCTTGGAGGCAGCCCAGGGAAGCTCTGGACAGATGGAGCTGCAACAATCCCTGCTCAAAAGCAGCTGCTTCTTCCTCTTTCTACATTTCCTCTCTCCTCCTGCAACCGCCCCCAACACGGGCAGAGGAGGGGGATCAAACCTGGCTCTCTCCCACTGACTGCCTCCATCCTATTAACCCTCTCTGCCACAGGTACAGAAGGAAGGGAATTCCTTTGATGTTTTCTCCCCTTTCCAGCTCCCTGCTGCCCATGCAGATGCCCTGCCCTGCTATGTGGACCAGCAACCACCCACAAACACCCCCATTCACGCCCTTGGTGGCACCTCCCTCATCAAAACCTCTGGAGCAAAGGCAACCTCTGCACCAGAAGGCAGAGGAACAGCCCCTTCTCTCCCCCTTCCTGGCTGCTTCTCCTCAGCCACAGAGTTCCCCCTTCTCCCAATCCCTCTGTCCCTGCTGGCCAAGAGCATGGCGAGCCAGGGGTGGGGGGAAGCAGAAGACCTCTTACCTCGAGAGGGGTCCTGCGTTGGGTTCTCCGTATCCTCAGCTGCTCCTGGTTAGCAGAGCAAGGAGGGAGGGCTGGCGTGGCCCAGCTGACTCCAGCCAGTTGCTGGCCAAGTGCTGTTATGTAATTATTGTCTTTTCCATCCTGCCTCCGAGGCCTTTGCGAGTGCCTCCCACTCGGCTCTGGCCCGTGGCAGGCTTGGCTCTTCCTCCCTCCCCTCCTTCCACCCACCCCACACAGCAGCACGGCTCTCTCCTCTATCAGGAACAGCTGATTCCTTCTGGAAGCAAAGTTCAGGGGGTTGGCTGCTGCCGTGGCTACCCTTGGCAAAAGAGCTCACGTGTGTTTGAAGAGCTGGGCAGTGATGGGTAGGGCTGCTCTGCTCTCACCTCCTCTTCCTCACTGCCCAGCCACTGCTGGGTGCTTTTGTCTTGTACTTCCCTAGTGCCTGCAAATGGGGAGGGGCCAACTGAGGCACAGAAAGGTGGCAATGTGTTTTTGTGCTTCAGCACTTTGGGGTCCCCATGGGTCACCCTGTAACAGCAGCTGTCTCTCTGCCAGATCAGGATTCCTGATCATCTCCAGCCAGTCTGCAGAAGGGATTGGGAAGATTAGATGACCTTTAAAGGTCCCTTCCAACCCCAACTATTCTATAATTCTCTGATTCTAAAGATGAATCTTTTCCAGCCTGTGGAAGGCTTGGCTAAGAGCCAGCCCTTGTTACCCAAGAGCACCAACACAGTATGAATCTGCTGGCTTAGAACCTCTTGGATGTCTCTGTTGGACATCAGCTGCGTGGCTGTTTGTAACTCCTGCCCATGTGGGGCCTGGACCAAGCATGAATGACACATTCCATGGCTCTTACACAGCCTGCTGCTGAGTTTGAGGGCACGTCTGCCAACAGGGATTTCTGCTGTGGGCTGAGCAGCAGCCTGGACTGTCTCACATGGAGATCAAAGCCTGGCAAAGCCATTACAGTATTTTTTTTGCTGTGTGTTGCTGAAATGCCACGTGGCTGAGGAGCAGCAGGAAGAGCCATTCACCTGTACTCATCACTAGAGCAAAGCAATTGCTAGACCTGGCAATTTGACTCCCAATTCCAGCTTGTCTCCCACTTCCCACTGCCCTTGGAGCGAGTCTGAGACACCACGTGTCTAAAATAGGTCAAAAGGGCAAGAGTCCTGCCATGTTTTCTGGCCATTTGATCCAGCACGAGCAC